TGAGAAGGCGTATAGTTTCGAGACGTGCCACCGTGAGCAAACACTTCATCAAAATCTACGCCTTGTTGTTGTACATAGCCTTTAGCTACAAGCCTTGCCTTGTATTTATTAACCGAGCCATCCGCTTTCTTCTTGATCTTATAAATCCACTTAAGACCAATAGGTTTAACATCAACCGGTTTATCAACGAGTTCCCATGTCTTGTTCTTGAGAATTGAATCCAACTCGGCTTGCATTGCATCAATCCATTCCTTTTGATGTTCAGCTTCAAAGTAATTTTCGGGTTCTCCGTCTACCGTAAGTAGTAACCTACCACTTTCTTGTTCTGCAAGCAACACATAATCATCAAGGTAGCTAGGTTGTCTTATCGTACGGCCATATCTAGTCACTACTTGTTGATTTTCTGCTCCTTGATTCACGACATTGTCAACATGTTCCTCTTCTTCTACCTCTTCTTCTACCTCTTCTTCCTCGTCTTGGTCTATAGGATCTTGATCCGGATTATGGTTTTCATTGGCTTGATCATCACCATATCCATCTCCATTATCTATAATACCTCCACGAGTGAGTTTAAACATACCCGGTTCACCATTGGATTCACTTGTTGTAGATGACCAGTTCCAAGCTTTCTTTTCATCGAAGACCACGTCTCTACTAACAATTACTTTCCTTGAGACCGGGTCATAGAGTCTATAGGCTTTAGAACCCGGCTCGGTTCCAAGATTGACCACGCTCCTTGACCTTTCATCTAGCTTCTTAAGATGTGGTCCATTGATTTTAGCGTAGGCCATACAACCAAAGACTCTCAAATGTTCTATGTTCGGTTTCTTGAACGTGAAGCACTCGTAAGGCGTTTGACCCTTCAAAGCCTTAGTAGGAACTCGATTAATGAGGTAAGTTGAATGACGAACAGCTTCTCCCCATAAGTGATTCGGAATCCTCATTGCCTTAAGTAAGCTTCTTGTCATCTCCATTAATGTCCGGTTTCTTCTTTCAACTACACCATTTTGTTGTGGTGTGTAAGGAGCAGTAAGATGTCTTGTTATTCCTTTTTCTTCACAAAAGGAAGTGAATTGAGCTGAGGTAAACTCTCCTCCTCTATCGGTGCGAAAAGTTTTCACGGTTAGCCCGGTTTGTTTCTCCACAACTTCTTTAAACTTTTTAAACCGATCGAACGCCTCACTCTTTTCCTTTAGCAACATGGTCCACATGTACCTAGAAAAATCATCAATTAAGACGAATACATACCGGTTGTTAGCTGGTGTTGGTGGTGAGATTGGCCCGCATAAGTCGCCATGAACTAGTTCCAATGCTTGTGCCGCACGGAAGCTTGTTTTTATCGGGAATGAATTTCTTGTTTGTTTTCCGGCTAAGCACACGTCACACACACTCTTTTCATGTAGAGTTCGTGGCATTCCTTCGACCATCTCCTTTTGTACCATATTATTCATGACACCAAAGCTCACATGTCCAAGTCTTGAGTGCCACTTCCATGTTTCTTCATCATCACGTAAAAGTAGACACATTGGACTGCTTATTTTCATCGGGGTTTTGTAGAGTCGGTTTGGAGATCTTGTGACTCTTACAAGCAACTTTCCACATGGATCACTTAGTGTTAACATGTCTTCTTTCATGTGTACTTCGCACCCACCTTCAGTTGCTTGTCCAAGACTCAATATGTTGTGTTTTAGCTCGGGTATGAGATAGATGTCTTTGAGAGCTCTTTTCTCTCCGGTCTTGCACACAAAGACAATCGTTCCTTTGCCAATGATATTCACACACGAGCCATCGCCAAACCTCACTTTACCTTTTACGTTCTCATCTAGGTTTGAGAAGAAATCTTTGTTCCCCGACATGTGGTTACTTGCACCGGTATCTAAATACCAAATACTCGAGTTGTTATTAGTATCATAGTTCTTAGGGATTACCCGATCTTCGTTAAGGAATACGACTTCATGGACATATAAGGCATCGGCTTCTTGTGTCTCGTTTAGGTTAGCTTCTTGGTTTTGCATTGGTTTCTCGGGACATGTCAATGCAAAGTGACCCGCTTTGTCACATCTCCAACATATTACCTTGGAACGATCTCTTTTCGATTTTGGTTTTTCTTCCGCAGCTGTTGCTCCTTGATCTTGGCTATTGAATCTCCCTCGACCCCTACCTCTACCAAAGTTTCCTCTGCCCCTACCAAAACCTCGTCCTCCTCTGGTTCCGTAACCTCCTCTGTTTCCGCCGTAGCCTCCGTGGCTATTGTTTGAAAACAAGAGTTTACTTTGATCCTCTCCTTGAGTCTCATCCCTTATACGCTCATCGTAAGCTTTTATTCTCCCTACTATTTCTTCAAATCCCGTTGTTTCTAAGTCTAGGACTTGCTCAAGAGAAGCTACAATTTGTATGAATTTTCCTCTAGGAAGACTTGTCAAGAACTTCTTCACCAACTTCGATTCGTCAATTGTATTTCCGAGAGAAGCAGATTGGGAAGCTATTCCCGAAATCTTTCCCGCAAAGTCATCAACCGAGTCGGTGTCTTCCATCTTCAACCGATCGAGTTGTGACATTAGGGTTTGGAGTCTCGCCACTTTAACACGGTCTGCTCCCTGGTGACGAGATTTGATCGCAGCCCACAGCAACTTTGCCGTGCCTTGTTCTCCAATTTGTAGGATGAGGCTCTCGGGGATTGATTGAAATAGAAGAGCTGTCGCTACATTGTTCTTCTTTCTGTCCGTTGATCCTGGTTCTATGGTGTCCCATACTTCGCTTACACTTAACAAGATCTTCATCCTCATCGCCCAAAATGTATAGTTTGTTGTTGTTAACATAGGGCATTGGATCGTTGGGGCTCCAATGTCGTTTGTTCGTGTTGAAGGTTCTACGTCTCCCATCTTGGATACGTGAAGCTTTGATCGTCGTCTTCGATCGGTACTTCTCCTTCAAGCTCTGATACCAATTCAAAGTTATGACTGCTAGAACTTAGAATATAAAGAACAACACTTCTTTATTAGACTTAGAAACTCTCACAAAACTAAATCTCTTCTCTCTAAGTCTCATGAAACATCCTTCCATGGACCCTTGTATTATATAGAACTTGGACATCTCCCAAGTCTATTAGGATTAGGTAAAACACAAACTCTATCTAGATACTTTATCATTATCTAAAACATATTTGTGAATATCCTTACTTATCTCTAGAAGCTTCTTCTTCTAAGAGATAACTTCTTCTTTAAGTCTTGAATTATCCAACAGTTTGAACTTCCAGCAGCAATTTCGAATTTCTCGTTAACTCCGGCTAGTTCCCTTGCTTCTAATCCAAGATCTATTCATTCATCATTCGCATAATTACAATAGCTTAATTGTAAGGGTTAAAAAAATTTCTTTAGTAAGATTTGTGTGTCTAAAACGATAGAAATAATAATTGAAAAGATAAAGAAATATTTACTCAGATGTTAACCAAAAGTTCGAATATTACTAGAATATCATACATTTTCTAAAAATTACTCATATGTTTTGAGCATTTGTTTAATTACAATTAACACCCTTCATTAGTTTTTTTTTTAATTAATAATTTTTAATTCGTTTTTAATTAAAAATAATAAATAAAAATTTGATTATTCATGTCATTAATCCACATCACCAATCTCACACTCCTCAAACTCACGTTATTTCTTCTCTTTTCTTTTTTGTCTCCAAATCCAAGAAAAGCTTTTAGATCATTTCTCCTCTTCTCTTTTTTTTTGTCTCCAAATCCAAGAAAAGCTTTTAGATCTAATAATCTGCAACTAACTTGGGTACAACATTGACAGAGATCTTCAAATTGCAGGATTGGGCTGGATCTTCCTAGACCTCACAGCCACAACGCTTGCCATAGGGTCCCAAATCAAAAGCTTCGTCAGATCTACTCGCAACCACGCTCACGAAAAAAGTCATCAAAAATCAAAACCCAAAACAAAGAGATCTATAGAATTCTACATGATTCGTTACAGGTTTGAGTTGAAATCAAGAATAGCTACTCTTTTACTTTGATTTTACATGTCTCTCGTTTAATCTTCCTCTCAATCGATCTATTTGGAGACATTTCTACTTCTATCTATGTTTTGATTCATACGGTTTAGTCTTCCTCCTATGTATCCCTCAAACATATTTTTACGAATCTTAATTTGATTGTTGTTATTTGACCAATAAATTTCATATTGTCTTCTCCAAAAAAATGTTGCTTTCCGATCTGTATTATAAATCAGCCGTAAAGTGATGTAACTCAGCCGTAACGTGATGTAACTCAACCGTAACATATAATTTACACAACCTTTCGTCTTCCATGAATGATAACTCAGCCGTGACATGTAATTTACCGAACCTTTTGTCTTCCCTGAAGCATATAACTCACCCGTAACATATAATTTACACCCATCTATCGTCTTCCCTGGAGAATATAACTCAGCCGTGACATGTAAATTTACCGAACCTTTCGTCTTCTCTTAAACATATAACTCAGCCGTAATGTAATTTTACCGAACCTTTCGTCTTCCCTGGAACATATAACTCAGCTGTGACATGTAAATTGACCGAACTTTTTCGTCTTTCCTTAAGCATATAACTCAGCCGTAATGTAATTTTACCGAACCTTTCGTCTTCCCTGGAACATATAACTCAGCCGTGACATGTAAATTGACCAAACCTTTCGTCTTCCCTTAAGCATATAACTCAGCCGTGACATGTAAATTTGCAGCGAAACAATAAGAGACGCAACATTTCCTCTAACTTTATCATCGAGCACCAACTTCACAAGTTTTTCGTGCGTTGTTTTCGCATCTATCTGCACAACTCTACACCCTCTTTCATCGGTGTTAAATACGTATTTGTGTTTTTATACCCAATTACCGGAACCGGATCAACCATATCGGGAGAAGGATGAAAGAAATTGAAGAAGAATGAGGAAGACGATGAGGAATTGGAAGTTCCGGTGATGTGATAAACTCAGGTGAAGAAGACGAGTTGAAAAAATTTGGCCCTATTTTTTTGTCCTTTGATGATGATGACATGGAATGATGACATGGAATGTTGCATCCACGTCATTTTTTAATTGATGAAGTGGCAAGTAAGCCACCAAACGAAAATGTAAATCAACTTAATTAAACCAGCCATCAAACAAAACTTTAACTCAGCCGCAACATGAATACTATTACAGTAATTAAAAAACAAAAAAACGGCAGCCAAATTCAGCCGTTTACTGTCGTAACTCAACCAAAAATATTTAACTCAATCGTGTCGTTTAATAAGTCGGCCGTCATTACATGCTATTCTAGTAATTAATCTTTCGCTACTAAGTCAGCCATAATAAGGCCGAGTTTTCCGTTAATCCAGCTCATTACGGCTGATTTATGATACTCGAACATAAATCAGCCGTAACGTCATCCCATAACTAAGCCGTCTTTGATAACTCAGCCAGCCGGAGAAAGTTAAGTCAGCCGTGTCGGAGCCAATACACTCAGCCAAAAATTTGACAAATCAACCATCGGGTGAAAACTCAGCCGTAACTTAGGTTGGGTTATGCTCGAAAGTCAGCCATTTTATCATAACTCAGACATATTTCAGTAAGTCAGCCGTAACTCCAGGCTGGGTAATACTCGTAAGTCAGCCGGTTGCTCATAACTCAGCAATTTTTCTTAAATCAGCAGCAACATACCATAACTCAGCCGTCACTGCCGCTATATCGCTCGACGGCTGAGTTCATTAATACACGTCAGCGATTTCTGACGTGGCGACGCGGCTTTGCTGACGTGGCAGTGGTATTCTTTGTAATTACGTTTTTTCCTGTAATGTTTAACAGGGGCACGCTTGGTATAAAAAATATACCCGAAATATGATAGTAATAAAAAAAAGATCTGTATGTTTCTGGTAATTTCATATAAAATGTATAACATCTGAGTAAATCTCCCAAAGATAAAACAAGTTTACTGTTCTAAAACTATATTTTGTTGGTTGGTAAAAATGTTTCTTCAACCAAAATTAATCAAGCCCATGGAATTCAAACAAGAGATTGATGCAATATTCAGACTATGTTTAAACTTCTTTAATTGAGAATTTTGTTTATTAAAAAGTTTCGGATTAAATGTTTTTTTTTTTGTCTACAAGATTAAATATGTTTTGACAATGAACATTAGTAAGGTTTTCAATTAAAATTATTTTCTTAGTATATTTACATATGAAATGTTTTGAATTTATTTTAACTAAAATAAAAAGAAAATATTTGTAAGAAATGATACTTTTTCATCACTCACGGTTTAAATGTAAATAACTAAACATATATAAAACACTTACTAGTTGTGATAACCAAAATGAAAATCAAGAGTGGAAGTTTGAGAGAAACGTTCATCATTTTCTTCATTTTATACTTGGCGTGTTATTTCGTCGTAGTACTTAGTACTTAAGCCATATATTCATTTTCCATTACATATATAAGGTTGCGAGTCCAGTCATGTTATGATAATTTTAAATTACCAAAGAGGAAATAATACGTGGTCAAAGATTTAGAGAATTAATACATTACCAATGAGAAAATTAAAAAATATCAGATAGCATCAAGAACTAATTAATAGTCAAACTAGCCAAAGTTGAAAACATGTTTATATGATTTTTTCTATAAGTGTTCATTTACAAATCCACCGCAATAAAGAAGCAAACGATGAATTTGTAACAATGGATTACAAAAAATATTTATTTTATGGTATAAGATTGGGGTACTTCTTATGAATATACGTGGTTTTGTAACGAAATGCTAACATACAAATGTTGCTTTATATAATGTGAAATCAATTAAATCGTAACAAATACAAATGATGTCGGATTTCGCACACATCCTGATCTGGTCTAGCAAAAAATTATTTAGCTCTAAGAATAAAGCTTATTCAAGATGGCGAAGAAGCCGTGAAGTCCATCGTAAGTCATAGAACTTCAAACACCAGAATTTTCAGCATGGACCCGGTGAATCTGTTATGTTCAAATAACTACATCGAGAGCTCAAAATGGACGAGTTTCGGCATTATCAATACAATAATAACACCGGGTTTCTCTTAATAACACCGGGTTTCTCTTCTGGATTGACACGTCAGCTTTTTCAACTGTTCTTAGACTGACACATCATTAAAAACAAAATCCAATCAAAACATTTTAAATAATAGAGCTCAACTTTATTTCTTCCACGTCATTCTCTTTGTTCTCTCTGTCACAAAATCATCGCCGCTAGAATAAGAAAAGAGGAGCTGCATAACGCAAGATATATATGAGGCAATTAGACATAAGAGAACCACGGTGCTTGCAGCAGTAAACAAAGAGATCAGAGTTGGATCGATGTTATCCCCAAGTTAATTGAAAATCTGGGTTTGGGTCTGTTCTGTAATGCACACCAAGTGATCGACGAAATTCCAGAGTAGAAATCAACATTTCATCATTAGAGAAGCAAGTATAGAAGCTTTGAGGAGAAGAACGAGCAAAACGAATCATGTATCGAGTCTGCATATTCTTCTAAGACAGAACAAATGTCACTGATTTGTGATAGCTTCACAAAGAGGAACAAACGGTTTAGAGTTATAGGCTTGGAATCATGCTGGTTAACGTTTATTTGCTGGTTTTACTGGCTGGTTTAGATTATAGGATTGAACTCTTGAAGTTAGAATGAAGTAGGACTGTCTTGGGTTTGATAAGGATGGGTTTATGGCTGCAATTTTCTGGTTTTGATGAGCGCACACAAGATTTTTATATGTGAGTAAGAGGAGACATACCTTGAAGAAAATTGAGTTATTTGTGGTAGACTGTAATTGAGTTGCTACAGAGACTTAAAGTGTCAAACTTTGTTGAATTACTTGGAAAACAAACACTGCCATTCATATCACACTCACGTGGACGATAAAATTAAGTCTAACCCTTGTTCTAAAAGTCGGCCGCCTAGCCGCCTAGGCGCTGATCGGAGGGGCACCGCGGCGATTTTGTCCAAATCGGTGAGAAAAATCGGAGATCCGATTTTTTGTCCGCCTAGACCGCCTAGGCGGCCGCCTAGCCCGCCTAGACGGCGCCTAGCCCAATTTTTTTTTTTTTTTTTTTGTTTTTTACTTTTTTTTTTATCTAAAATTCAAAACGTCCTACTTATGTTCGTAATTTGTATACAAATCATAAATTTGAAATTAAATTCTTGTTTTCATGTATTTAATGCAATTTTAAAAACAATATTATATAAATTTCTTAATTATAATGGATTGATATGTTTTTAAAACATTAAATAGCCCTAAAACTAATCCCCGGGTAATCCCCGATTTTTTTGCTAGGTACTAGGCACATCCTCACCGCCCGACTAGCGCCTAGTGATTTTTTGAACACGGAGTCTAACCAAGAAATCTTCTGTGTAACTGATTAAATTAACGAAATTAATTATCGAGAGTTCATTTGTGGTGTTCCACCAAGTGGCTGCTTAGTTTATTATTATTAATGGGTTTGTGGAGATGGAATTGAGGTTATTGAACCTATCGTGAATGGCATTGGTTATTGAACCTATCGTGAATGTCATTGGTTACTATGAAATTATGAGTTGGCTTGGATAGTAAACCGTATCTAAAAGTGGTGTGATTAAATTGTTAGTTTTCTGATTGAAATTGGCGAGTTAGTTAACTGAAAGATTTTGTTGTAGCAAGTTTGAAAATTTGCTCTCACCATTTTTTAAGATTAAAATTTTCAAATTTATGAGATGAGAGATTTTGTTAATTATATTTTAAGATTTTGCAAAGTCCAATGGTAGGCTCTCTTTGTGGGTTCTCAGGAAAAAATTAAATTATTTTTTTATTTATTTGATTTCATAAATCTGAAAAATATTACAATTCATAACATATTAAAGATACAATAATTTCATACATTTGAAAATAAATTTGAAAAAAAAAACGATTAGTTATTCTGTTGATTGTTGCGAAATTTTCTCCATATATGCTCAACCAAATCACTTTTCAATTGTTGATGCATATTTTGATCACGAAGTTGATTTCGCATGCCCATCATATTCTCGAGATTTGGAGGCATACCTGTAGAATACGATAAATCGACTTGTGAAGTTTGGTTTCCTTCAACTTGTAGGAATTCTGAAACATCAAACTGAGTGTTGTACCCATCTCGTTCGTCTTCGACTATCATATTGTGCAGTATGATACATGCTTTCATAATATTTCCAAATTTTTCCTTATCCCAAACGAGATTTGGGTTTTTAATAATGTGAAAGCGAGCTTGCAATACTCCAAATGCACGTTCGACATCTTTACGGGCCGCTTCTTGATGTGTAGCAAATAAAGTGTCTTTCCGAGTTTGTGGTAATCGAATAGATTGGATAAAAGTCGCCCATTTCGGATAAATACCATCTGTGAGATAGTAAGCTAAATGATACTCACGGCCATTGACTTTGTAATTCACATTCGGAGCTCGACCTTGTAATATATCATCAAAAATTGGTGATCGATCAAGAATATTTATATCGTTTAAGGTACCTGGAAGTCCAAAAAATGTGTGCCAAATCCAGAGATCTTATGATGCGACCGCCTCTAAAACGATGGTTGGTTTTCCAGAGCCACGTGGTTACTGGCCTTTCCAAGCGGTGGGGCAATTCTTCCACTCCCAATGCATACAATCGAGACTTCCTATCATCCCGGGAAATCCTCGTATCTTTCCAATATTGAGTAGTCTTCTCAGATCTGTGGCTGTAGGTTAGATATTCATCTCCGAAGAAAGAAATAATTCCCTTTGTAAAATTCTCCAAGCAAGACATCGCAGTGCTTTCACCTATACGGAGGTATTCGTCAACCGCATCAGACGCATAACCATAAGCAAGCAAACGAATAGCTGTCGTACATTTTTGTATTGGAGAGTGTCCAAACCTTCCTGTAGCATCTCTTCGATGTTGAAAGAACGGGATTTCACTGGAGAGTCGATCAACAATACGCAAGAACAACGGCTTGTTCATTCGAAAACGGCGGCGAAAAATTTGAGGTGGAAACATCGCATTATCACTAAAATAATCGTTCCATAAAAGGACGTGCCCTTCTTCGCGTTTTCTGTCAAAATAAGCTCGTTTCCTTTTTTTTTTGCCACCTCTTCGCCATTAGACAATTCGACGAACATATTCTCGAATTGTTGATCAAGTGATTGAGAGAAGCTTTCTTCCATGGCGTCGTCGAATGGAGTACGGGATGAAGAAGCCATATTGTTTGGTAGGTTTAAGTATTAAAAAATATAGATATATATATAAAAGCTTTGGTGATTGATTGTTTTGTGGTAAAAGCAAAGAAAAATTAAGGGAAAAATTGTTTTTGTAGTTGAAGCAAAGAACAATAATAGAAAAGCTTGAGTTGTGAGATATCCAAAGACGATGTATATTATTTATAGCAAAGGCAAAACACATCATACATTAAACATCATACTCAGGCCTCGTAAATTCAATGGTAAAATGTGCCAATTAATAGCCAGTAGATTTGTTGCAGCTTAAACCAATTCAATTGCATGCATACTCAGTAAAAAGCCAAAACTATAGCAGATTAAACAAAAAGTTAAGATTAATGGCCTGATAGGTTTGAGAATTTCACATCAAGCAGTGTATCAAAACCATTATCCCAAAACTAGTAAATTCCTCATGTTTTATCAATTGGAGATCAATAACGAAAAGAAAGAGACAAACCTAAAACTTCAGAAGAGGATCTTTATACACTTGAAATATCACCTTTAAAGACTTGCAGTAGCTCTCCTGTGGTTTCGTAATTTTAAAGATATTCACAAGAGTTAAGACAAATCCAAGAGAAATATAAGTTTTTTTTCAGAACATACAATATAGTTTGGTTTTACCTGTCAAGTAGACGCATAGTAGAATCCAAGCAACCAGCTAAAACGCAGTTTCCATCATTTGATATCAATATACAATTAACTGGTTGATACATCCCAAGAATAAACTTGCCGATCACCACCACATGAACAAAATTGATCAATATAGGCCTAACGCAATACTTCTTTGATTCATACACTGAAAATAACACAAGAAGATCGATCAGTCTTAAGCAAATTCTTAATTTACGATAATTTACGAAACTATGAACCCTAGTTTGTAAAATTCAAAGAACCCTAAAAAAAGAACATCAAATTCCCCAAATTAAATCATTATAAACTGCATCAAATTCCATAAAAGAAGTATATGCTCTTACCAATTACAATTCAAGCTGAATCGATTACTCTCCATCCGTTGAATTTGGATATCCGATTTGCATATCTCTCTCACTCCCGATCGTGACATGCGGTGGGGTAAATGACGAATCCGGCCTAATCGTCGCCGGCGGCCTCTCTATTCTTCCCTCAATCGTTGTCGGCGGCCTCAATCGTGACCTCAATCGTCGTCGGCGGCTTGAGAAAAGTGTTTGGTTTCGCAAAGAAGAAAGAGAGAGAAACAGAAGTCGGGAAATGACAAAAGTCTCTGGCTTCTTTAAATTTTTTTTCACGCGTTTTTTTTTTGGGATCAAAACAATCGACGGTTGAGATTAAACCACGTCATCGTCTCTCTTCCTACTCAAAGTTTCTCTCAAGAGAGGTGTTTCTCTTAATAAATCAGAGTTTTGATTTATTTTTCAGCATTTTTTTCAAGAGAAACTTAGGAGAGAACTCTAAAATACATCCATTGGAGATGCTCTTAGAAGTGTTAAGTAGGTAAAGAAACCCGGACAAGTCTTTGGGCTTCTCACAAAACATAATCTTTCATCTCGATTTTTCTCTGATATCTCATCCTTGGATCTCTCATCAGAGGAGTCGCCCAAGGTTCTACTACTAGTCTCTCCTCCGTCTTCATTCTCTTCTCCTTCTTCGTTCTCATCTTCTTCATTCTCTTCTTCCTCATTCACATCTTCCTCATTCTTGACAACCGGACTTAACGCTCCTCTATCTTCTTCTCTCTCTTCTTCTACCACTTCAACTCTCTCAATTGGGTTCTTGGAACTCGTTTCTCCATCTTCTTCCCCTACCTCTTTTCTTCGACTAGCTCCTCTCTTTCTCTTTTTGCCCGTCCACTTTGTTTTAGGAGCCATAATAGACAACAAGATAAAACGGAGATTTATGAGAGCGAATTGGTGGAGTTCTCAGCAACGAAAGAGATAAACAATTTTGAATTTGAAATCGAGAAATCGTGGAGAAAACGGTTGTTTCTTTTGAAATTTTTCGAAACGATTGAATGAAAACAATGAATGAAGAGGATATCAAATAATTAGGGTATTTGGTTGAGCTTTTAGGTTAGATCGGAAATCAATTTGGTTGGATAGATAAAATCATAAAACCAAGATTTTAGATGTAGTTTTTAGGCCTGCGCATAATACCCGAACCCGACCCGAAAAATCCGACCCGAACCCAAACCCAAAGTTTTAAAATACCCGAATGGGTTCTAAACTTCACAACCCGAAAACCCGAACCCGAACCCAACCCGAACTCGAACCCGAACAAGTATCCGAACATACCCAAAATATAAGTACATAATTATAATATATTAGTAATATTTATACTTGTAATAACCTAAGTGCCTAAATTATTCGGATGTTAAGATATTTTCGGGTGTTTTAGCTACTTTGGGTTAGATTCGAGTTAAAATAGTTGGGTTTTATAGATTTTTTGAGTATTTTTTAATACTTTGCATAGAATCGGATAAAAAATTTCTAATATTTGGATATTTTGGGTAAATCCGAATCCGAACCCAAAATATCCGATCCGAACCCGACCCGAACCCGAAGTTTTAAAATATCCGAACGGATCTTAGTTTTCTAAACCCAAAAAACCCGAACCCGAAAAACTCGACCCGAATCCGATCCGAATATCCGAACGGCCAGACCTAGTAGTTTTTAGAACTTTGGCTGGAGTAATAAAGTCATTTTTGTCATTTTTGATTAAAAAAGTAAAGAGAAACGATTTTCTATTGACAAAAGGGAACTTTCGTGACGTTTTCTCGAGATAGAGCCATCGAAGAACGAGGCGGAGCTATGACGCCGTTTTCTATATCGGCATCACCTTCGCCGCCGTGGCCACTTCTCTCTCCGCCACTATCTTCACCGTCGCTAAACAGAGCTGAATTTTTTTTTCGAAACGGTTGTCTATCTTCACCGTCGCTAAGCCGCAATACGCAGAGAAAAGCATGGAAGCAGTTACAGGTGGTGGCTATGGCTCCTGAGGAAGAGAAGCTCACTCGTCGTAACCCTCTCGATTTCCCTATCGTTAGTATCTCTCTACTTCGATTCCTTCTAGAAATTGCATAAGATTCGTCGAAATTTCACATTGTTACTGTTCTTGAAATGTTTTGTAGAGTGTCAATTTGATATAGAAACTTGAAATTCAGTCACAAGTATCATGAACAGATTCTTGTTCTGTGCCTGTAGTATCATACTTATAAGTTTGATTTAGGAATTGATTTGGTAGCAGATGAGATTGTGAGTCTATCTTATTCGTTGTTCATCACTTGCTAAACTTATTAGGTACAGAGAGTTCTTTAGTTAGAGAACTTTGAGTAATCGAACTCCTTTTCGCCTAGTTTACGTATGAATCAATTAGAAAGAAGCTGTATTTAGTGACAACGTATAGCGAGTTTTGTGCGTTCCTCTGCATCTTTTTCCGAGGTTCTTTGTTTGTTGTTAATTGGAATGTAGTCGGTCAAATTTCTCTTCGTGTTGTCATGAATTGATTCACATTTTTTCCCAATTTCCCCAAGTTTTCATTACGTTTCTTGGTACACCTTTAACTTATGTTTAGTCGTACACCGATGCTGTGTATTTTCTCTCTGGTTTTGTGTTATCATTTGCTTGGTCATCGTAATTTTTCTGTCTTTAATGTTTTGGGGTTTGTGGTAGGAATGGGAGAGACCGAAGCCAGGGAGGAGACCAGATATATTCCCTAAGTTTAGTCCTATGAAGTCACCGTTGCCTCCTCCTATGCCTTACGATCCTCCAGAAGAAGATGAAGAAGAGGAAGAGAAGAAAGAAGAAGAAACAGAAGACGACCCTGAAAAGGAAGACGAGGACCAACCAGATAACCAGTAGTAAAAGGTCTCATTTCTCAAACTGTTATCGTGGTTGTTTGTCTTGCCTTATAAACCTCTGAACTCATTGCTGCTTCTATTTGTTCGTCTACCTAACTTACATTTTCATATCGGAATCCTAAAGGATAGAAAATCCAAAACTATTTTTGTGTTTATAGCTGTGGTAAACTTGCTTTTCGCAAACAAACTAAAGAATGTATCTGCCATTCATTGGTTTATTAGGTATCGTAGGGCAACTAGTTTGCTTATGGACAGGTAAATGTCTTGCTTTCTGCTTCTGCATTCAAATATGAAATTCATATTATTAAAAAGTCTTTATTCTTTAGTTAATTCTTTTGATTCCGCTAAAGATCCTATTAGAACTTAAATGAAACATTATGTTTCTTTTGTTACATTGCTTCTGATTCCATTTCAAATGTCAAAAACTAAGTAATGGTAGTCAAATGATTTTGATTAATAAGTCATCATTCGCTGTAAAGACCTAAAGATTATGTTGAGGATGAAGAATTGGTTTTAAAAATTCCAAAGAAATTGTTTAATCTTGTTAAAGTGTTAAACAAGATTAAACAAGATTGTTGATATCTCTTAGTGATCTTAGCCTTAAACAAAAAAAGATGATAAGAAAAGCAAGAAGCACTTGGTTGGTGTGAGTGAATGTTACATATGTTTTTAGAGAAATCCATAGAAACAAAAATGTGTTTGTTAGGTCCAGACTCGTGTTCTACATTTTCTGTCATATGTTGTTGTTGTTTACTTTTTTACACAAAATTGGGATTGTTACTTAATATTTATGAGGACACCTTCAAGGTTTTCACATATACATAACAACACTAGAGTTCACTAATTAAAGATTAATAGCGCTGAAGCAGAATGATATTTAGGTTTGAGTGGTAACTTCCCACCGTTGAATTTCAAACTTGAAAGTGAACCATTTTAAAAGTTATCAATCAGTGAAATGGTTAGAGGAGGTGGTTGGATAAAGAAAAAAAATCGAATAAGATGGTTAGAAGCAAACAAAATCTGTGGTTACCAACCGCCTTAAAAATAAGTTGGTTGGACTATATACTCTTAGTTTATACTCCCTCCGTCCCACAAAGATGAAGGTTTTAAAATTTTCACATTCTTTAAGAAAAACGTTGGAATGACAATTTTAACCTCATAACATACTTTATATATATATATATATATATATATATATATATTACTTAATTATTTTAAAATTAAATTGATGGTTTTAACTTTTAACACATACTCAAAAAAGATACGTGAACTATTTAATAATTTAATGAGTAGTTGAACATTTGTAATAAAGAAAGGAATGCAAAACGTCATGTACGTTTCTTATTTATTTGAAGATTCCACCGAGAAATCAATTGTGACACCATAAATTGTGATCTAAAATTTCATTTGGAGCCAAAATCAGAATAGCCAAAAAATAAAAAATTTAGAATGGAGCCAAAACGTAAAAGTCTCTGTGGCTATATATTGTTACAGAATTTTTTTTAACGGTGGAAAACACATTATCAATGACTTCTCATAATATTGATATAAATATACCAGTTATAAATAGTGGAAAAGAATACTCTTTTGACTTGAATCAAACACCTTCAACCTCTGAAAATGACGAGAATCCAAGTGAAAGTGTCTCTTCGATGATGACTTTAAGTGTTCCAGCTCTTCATGATTCTACTATAAATCCACCAGGTATTTTTTTATTTAAATTCATAATTTTTTCCACAACTATATTTTATTAATAATTTATTTTATTAAATGGCGGAAAATTCCAGAAAAGACCTCCAAATTGAAACATTTTCCTAAGTAAAACCTCAAACTTTTTTCGTTCTCATATAAAACTTCCAAATTGAAAAATTTTCTTAATTAAAATCTTTAACTTTTTTCGTTCCCAATTAAAACCTCTAACTAATAAATTTTCTCTAAACAAACTTTCAAGTCGTCAAACTTGAGCTCGATCAATGGTGACCAATGATCGCTGGTAATTTCGTTCGGAATAGTTAATAGTCGTTAACGACATCTATTTTTCGTTTATTTAGTTTCCAAAATTTTATATGAACCCTAAAAATTAGAAAAAATGTATTATAGGGTTTGTAATTAAGATTTTCATCTTTTCTATTGTAACTAACACATGTGAATTTTGAAAACTAAATAAACGGAAAACATGTCGTTAAAAGTCGTTTACCGTTAGTTAATCATTGATCAGACACAAATTTGACGACTTAAAGGTTTTTTTAGAAAAAAATAATTAGTTGGAGGTTTTATTTGGGAACGAAAAAAGTTGGAGGTTTTAATTGGGAAAATAATTCAATTTGGAGGTTTTATATGGAAACGAAAAAAGTTTGAGGTTTTAGTTGGAAAAATGTTTTAATTTGGAGGTTTTTTCTGGGATTTTCCCGTTTAAATGGTAACAGCTGAATCTTGCTAAACTTTTTTAAAAATAGAACAAAAAAATTAATTAATTATATAATCTTATATACATACTAATTAAATTTAAAAATATTGCCAACAAGATTAGTGAAGTCTGATAAAAATTATAAATCTTTAAACATAAGATAATATCGATACTTGGCGAAAACATTTGCAACTCGTAAAAACTTAAGGATCGATTTGGACGGAATTTAAAATAATTATATTTTACTATTTTATTAAACATAATTATCATATATATAACCATAAGCCATTAAAACTAATTATTGGTTTTTAACCTTTTGGTGTAATTTTATTTATTTTAGTTTCATTTAATAACTATCATATAAAATCATAATTATTTTATTTTTAGTTCACAAATTATTTACTAAAAACTTCTAATATTGAATAGTGAATTTTTTTTTTGCCTTTTATCTTCTATATATATATGCGACCGGCCAAATTCCTCCAATTCAACCGGTAACAAAAAAAAAAAAAATTAGATGTACTCCTTTCCACAATTCTTCAGTTACCATTTAGTGTCTAAGACAATTATAATCATCTGATATTATATAATATTATTTTAAAAAATTTAATTTAATTATTCAAACAACCAAAATATTACTGCCAATTTTATGTTTTAACCGTTTTCTAACGTTTTTTTTTCCATAACCGATAAAATTTTCCTGACAAATTTGTTTAAACTAGGTTATCAAATAGAAAATGGGTACGTTTTGAAGAAGACAAGCTTCATTATGTAAACACAAACGCCTTTTTTTGCTACTACTATCATTCTCTGTTCTTTCAGATTCTTGGACCATTTTGGTGTTAATTAGTTACTGATTTTTTTGGTCTTACTCTTCACTATATTACTCATGTCTCTGACTCTTCCACGTATCATCTCTTTGAGCTATACACGAATTTTAACCAGACACACACATACAAATATCCTTCTAGAAGATTTGCTCAACTTAAGCTGTACTTATTTGTGGCTCAGAGACTCGTGACGTTACCTCTTTTGGTTTTTAACAATTTATGATCTTAAGATAAGCTTTAACTTTCTTTCTTTTTTTCTCAAATGTTACAAATTCTGTTATTCATTTTGGATGATTTATTTATTTCTTTTATTTCTTTTTTTTTTTTATTTATTTATTTCTATGCCTCCATTTTTCTTCATATTTCTCAAAAAAACATTGTTAACCAGGACTTTCAAGCCAAAATTCAGACTAATTTCGATGCTTATAAAAATTTCTGTTTTTATGTAAACGCCTTTTACGAATAGTCAAATTGTGGCATACATAAAAATGAAAATCCACACATTTGGACTTTTTGGATGAATTGATTCCATGCCCCTATCTGTTTTATTTGTTTTAATTTTTTTCTGGAAAAAAAAAACGTCCAAATCTATAATAAGTTTTTGCTGGAAATAATATTTTGAAATGATGAATTATTACCTATATTTATATTTGATAACGACATAAATATCTTTTCTTTGGTCAATTATTCTAGATGATATCTCTATAATAGTCGATTTGTATATGTCTGAGTCTGATTGTCTTCTTCACCTTTTGGTATATCGCTCTCAAATATTTACTTTGTTTTAAAACTCAATTAGTCGTTGACAGAGGAAAAAAGAGAGAAAAAAACTGCGATTATTCTTAGGTTGAGAAAAAAACCAATGCAATTATGATAGTGTGACATAACCGGGATCGACTATTAAATTGATAGACGTCATAGACGGACTCCAGATCTCTGTGTTATTTATCTTTTTCAGAATACATAAATATATTAGAAAAAAACAATATGACGGAAAAAAATATAAAAATCCCAAGATAAATTATCTTTTAGTAGCTTATTTTCAGTAAATACAAATGATGCAACATATAACCAATCAACTTTTTCTCCAACAATGGATGCGATGTATTTTAAAGGAAACCCATCATCTCACAACATAAAAAAAAATTCACATATATAGCTTGTGAAATAGGTCGATCGAGTATCAATGGTTAATTAGTCAAATAGTCAAAAATTTAGCACTAATTTATTAATTAATTCACATATTATTGGCTATGAATCATGCATTAAAAAGAAAAAAAAGTTTCAAATAGAAATGTGCGGTTTAACTGCAAATAAAGTGCGGTATAGTTCTAATAGTAACGAAAATATATACATATATATTATGTAGAAAGTATCGTTACTATTGAAACCGCGCTGTATATATATTGATGAAATACTAAAAGCTTATGCTTTATCTTTTAATTTCTTGATCCATTTTTTTTTTCATCTGAATATTGCATTAGAACGATATAACTGTTATGGTATAAAACCTTACAAAAGGGATCATAGGCAATCACCAACAAAGACAAAAGGAGCGATACAACTAAGCAACACAACTCTCGTTAGTGAACACTTCATGTAACCAAAAAGAGCAGCCTTGTGCTACGTATGATTGACTACGATCTTCACTTGTCACACTCCGTGCAATAAAGAAGGCTCCCAAGTTAGCCTTTCTCTCTTCATGAACAAGCTGCCAATTAGGTAAATGACTCATAACCAAAAGAATTCTACCTGCTTGAAATTTGAAAGATGGCCAAGCACGAGGTCTAGAAACAGCGTTCACCAAATCCTTCCCCTCAACTGCAAAAATAACTTTGTGAATGTTCAGACTTCTCATGCTCTCAATAGCCCAGAACCAGCTTTCCATCTCTGCATCTTGTTTTGATGCAATATTCGCATATCCCCTTCTACTATGTAGTAAGACAGCCCCTCTAGAATTCCTTAAGACCCAGGCCGCACCACTCATCTTATTCTTTTTATCCCAAGAGAAAGCAACATTACATTTCAGCCATGGTTTAGCAGGAGGTCTC